TGGAATTAAAATTCGTGGAATTAAAATTCATGGAATAAAAGCTCCTTCTGGCCTTGAAATCCATGAACTCATTTATCCACCTTCCCTCATTTCTTCCCCGTCTGAGCAGGATTAACCTGCCCCTTCACTCAGAGAAGCTTCTCACTGACCACTGTACTAAAAGATATTTTCCTAATTGCACACTGAGGGCACTACAGAGATACCGGGGAACGATGGCAGGGAATTCCACATTTCTGAGCAGATACTTTTTGGGTTTTTTTCTCCCAAGACTTGGTGTTCTTTCAGGTGTGTATTTCGGCACTGATGTAGCAGATGTAGGGGATGGCTCCACTGAACCATGGCTCACCATCAGCTGCGGAGGCCAGTGCTGCCCTCCGCACCCTCCCACATGTTCCCAGTTCCTCCTACCGGCACCGGGACTCGCAGGACCAGATGGTAAGCCAGGTCAGGGAGAAGATCTTAAATGATCTCTACTCTACAAAAAAAAAAAGTTGTTAGTTTGAAAAATGAGGCTTTAGCCTTAACTACAGATGTGGAAAAAAAATCTCAGGAGGCATGGAGCTTTGCTAGAAGGACTGAGGAGATATTAGATAAATCATCAAATTAGCTGGTGAGGAAATCACCATTGAGGAAACGGAAAAAGCGAAATGGGATATGTCTGCTGAATATCTGCGTAGCTAAAGGCAAAAGCCCTGCAAGAAGGCAGACAATCATCATTGCCGACTACTTATTAGAAGCACGCCAGCTAATGGCACTAGGTGTGTTACAGAGGACTTTGGGAAAAGGGAAAGTTCAGCTAACAGGACGAGGCAAAGAAGATAAAAAATATTGGATGAAAGTCACTGACGGCAGCAGTGAGGGGTCACCGGCCACCGTTCAGCCCAGACGGACAGGCTGCCTCCTGCGTGCAAGGGGCTTGATCTGCTGAGCTAGCTGGAGCGGCCAGGAGGACGTGAGATTAGCAGCCAACGGGAGCCCTACGGTGGCCACTGCAGCAGCCCTACAGACTCGGTGGCTAAAGTATTAAATGAAATTGTGCAAGGGCCTGTTCTCTGGCATGATCTGCACGTGTCCAATGCTGTTAAAATCCCTTGTCACTCCGATCGGGGTGGCCTTATCCAAACTGGCCCCCGGGAACGGGTCCGGGCACCTGATAACCTCTGGGTGGTGGTTGGAGATGGTTTGGGAAAGCGCTGGTAGCTCTGATCCGAAGGCACGTCAGCGAGCACGCCCACAGCCGAGCAGGTAGGCGAGTGCCTGTCCGAGGAACGCTGTCGGGCACTAACGAGCTCACCCGGACAGACACAGCCGGGGTCTCACAAGTGCACGGGACGACACAGCAGAAGATACCAGTGACAGCGCTTAGTGAAGAGCTGAATGACCAGAACTTCTCCTTCGGGGAAAACCACCAACAAATTCCTGTAACCGAAACCTCCTAACAGCGTCAACACGTTGGCAATAAGATGTGCAAGGACACTTGGTGCAAAAACCCAACCTTAACTCTAAATTGCAACGGCGTGGGCAGGTCACTGTGCAGGCTAATAAACATCCGAGTGGGACACTAATCACGGGGCTTCGATTACCTCTGCACCAGCAACCAAAATAGTCGAGGGCCTTTCTCTGCTCTGAGGCCAACTATCACAGCACGGCTCGCCGTGGGAAAAATGGATGAACCTCCAGAGAACAACTGTGTCCTTCCAAATAGAGGCTTTCTTCTCTCTCCTGTTTTTACAGAGGGAGCTGAGGTACCAAACTTTCAGATAAGCAAAGTTAGGTAAGCCGAATCCAGCTCTAAATGGTGAAATGAAGGCAGCATTAAAAATGTAAAAAATACTGCATAAGAAAATGGAAAAAACCATAAAAGCTTAACAGCTGATGTAAATTATAAATGAAAATTTTTGAAGTGCACCAAATGATGAGAGAAGCTAAAACCTTGCGGGAATAATTTGTGTCTGGCAGGGCTAAAACCACCAAAAAGGAGACTTTGAAATGCACACAAATATCCGAAACAAAACAAAGCCTTGAGGTGGTGTATACTGCTTCTTGATAGTCATGGTAAAATTCTTAATATGGGAAGAGGAATTAGTATTTCTGTTCTGTGTCTGACTAATAGTACTTTCCCCTTGTAGTTTCTATCAGCAAACAGTGAAGTACTTTCCACTAATAATGAGAAAAGGTGTTAAAAAGTATCTACTAGAAATTATATTTTTAGATCAGCAGCCCTGGGTAGCTTGCAGCTGGGATTCTTAAAATAATTACATGCGGAGTTATCTGGTCCAGCGAAGGTAATTTTTAATAGATCTTGGAATACCCAGGACTGGAATGTGCTGTGTTGCACTGATATTCAAAAAGGGAGGTAGACAACTTAAATAAGCACAAACCTCTTACCCTGTCATTAATTTATTCAGAGTAACAGAAACGCTGATACAAGACTCAACTCATAAGAATACACGAAGCACTACAACTTCATGGAAAAGAGGTCTTGCCAGATAGATCTCATTTTGTTATTTGAATGTATTACAAGTTTGGCTTCTAAAGGAACTGCACAGATGTAATATATTTTCGTATCTGCAGTTCCTTCAGAGGCCAAACTTGTACTACATTGTCATTAACCAGTTAGCACTATAAAAAAAAACAAATAAAGCACTTTACATGGAGTAAAATCTGGATAACTGACAGCTTTCAAAGAGCACTCACTGGTGCAGAAAGGCACAAAAAGGAAAATAGTGATGAAGAGTAATGAAAGTCCTCCTGTAGCTCTCTGCATGGTGTTGCTAAGATTCAGAGAAGAATTCCACACACAGTTTGTTTTTTCCTAATTTAAAATATTATATTAAAAATCTGGAGAAGGCAAAGTAATGAAAATTAAAATGAAAATAAAAAATACTGAAGTACAGTATTGTGAGAAGCTCAGAAAAGCTCTGCCTGTTTAACTGATTTAAAAAAGAAGATTGAGATGTGCCTTCACTGAGATGAGTAAGTATCTGCGTAGGAAAAAACCAGGGGTGCTACAGTACTCCTTAATTTAATGGAGGGAGAACCACATGTACCAAAGCCAATGGGTGCAAACTGAAGCTAAATACATTAAAACTGAAAATGAGGCATAAATTTTTAACTGCGCAAGCAAATTTGCATTGGCAGTGAATTTTTCATTTTCGATTTCTTCAGTTCAAGAACAGATGTCTTTCTGGAAGATGCTTTAATGAAAGAGAAGCTGCCAGGCTCCATAGAAAGCTAAGAAGGGGAAATGCAAAGAGCCATATTATGCAACATGTAGAACCAAATAATTACAATAGTCACGGGCTCATAGGATAATTCAGGTTGGAAGGGGCCTCAGGCAGTCTCAAAATCCAGCCTCCCACTCAGAACGGGGCCAAATTAATCCCAGACCAGGTTGCTTAGAGCCTTGTCCAGTTGGGTCTTGAGAACCTCCAAGGATGGAGACAGCACAACCTCTCTGGGCCCCTGCTCCACTGCTTGAGCATCCTCATGGGGAAGAAGTTTCTCCTTATATCCAGTCCTATTTGCCCTTATAGTCTTTAAACAATTTTGGGAACTGAGGGAGTTAATGAAAAGATACTAGATATATAAATGGAAAGTCAAGCAAAAGCCAGATTCTCAACTAACCTTCCGTATAATACAGCCTAGAAGATGTCATTAAAGCTTCCATCAAGGTCATAATCGAACTGCAAGATTCAACTTAGCGAATGGGTCCTAGAAACATTAGTTTATCCCATGTGAGTCATTACGTTTCCCTTCCCTCTGCTGCAATCCTCTTTCCTCCCTCCTCTGTCTCCCCAGTTGCAGCACCTGCAACCTCCTGCAGTACCCTCCGTGCTCTCCTCGTCGGTGTGTTACCGACACCCACACCCTCTGCTGCTCCACACAATGTTCACGTGTCCAACCAGCTGGGCAAGAGAAAACACACGCTGTTTGGGCAGCTGGGAGATGAGAGTATGATGGCCAAGCAGGCAGAAAAGGCAGGCGTGCTGCCTGCATCTCGCCTGGTGGGTGGGCAAAGCTCTGCAGGGGGCTCTGGAGCCCGCACGCGGTACAGGTTCCGATTAGTGCATCTGAGAAAGACAGTCCACCCGGCCTTCAAGGCTTCCGAGGAGGAAGAGCAGAAACTCAGGCCAGCCAACAGAGCGGCCGCTCACCCTAAGGAGATGTAGCATTTACATCAGGTCGTGCTTGGGAAAATTAATTTGTGAAGGCTTACGAGTGCTTTGAAGATAATATAGGGTCTACAGAAAACTCCCATCAGAGCTTGTCACCTCGTTAAAGCAGATGTCCAGACTGATTTTGTTATAAAGAGGGTCCTCAAACGTGTGCAAGAAAACTATTCAGACTGTGGTCATCTGAACCACGAAGAATCAAACTGTTCCTGATGCAAGAACTTTTTATACCTTCCTAAATCTGTAATTCAGTTTTGCATGCCCATTTCCAGAGCTATCACACTTCAACTTACAAAGATTTAGGGTCTGAAGAAATCCAGGTGAATTTAGCAAGTGATTGTCTTCAAATTTTTAGAAGACAGACATTAACAGGCTGAACAGGGAAAAAGTACAGTGTGCAGAACCACTGACTTAAAAAAAAAATTACTTCCCAAATATTAATACTATGTGCTCATCTGCACAGGGAGACTAAATAGAACAGGCACCTCTGAAGAGTATTTGATCATCGCCTCTTGCATATGCATTCCTATTCCAGAATGCAGGCCTAATCTGAAGAGCGAGTGCACTTTAGATTTACAGACGACGTGAATTCATTATCACTTTCAAGTGCAGACGAGCTCTGTCTAAATTGTTCTGGAACTATCAAGATGTGCGCATAGCTGATCTATAAACCCCCGTGCTGCTCCTGCCAGTGTCATTGCTGCCATCTCTCTCCTACTTCTTCCATTGCCTACAGCATCCGCGTCGCATCTCGTCTCGGACCAAAACCTCTTTAGGCAAGGGCAATATTTTGCCGTTCACTTTATAGAGAGGCTCTTGTCCAATTTAAAGAACGGGAAGAATAAACGCATAATAGCGTTTCAGACTATAGTCATCAACTATGAGCTCACCTAGCAAGACTCTCTAAAAAATAATAATGGACCCTCATCAGAAATCCAAACAGCAACATACATTATAGATCAGAGCCAATACCATCATACTCTAAAGCACAAAAAACCCCACAAACGTTGCAGGGTTAGTGTAATAGTAATATTGCATGGTGAAACACAGCACCATGCCACTGGGGAGTCGTGTTTTGTGTTGCAGTAACTATGGCTTCCAGCTTATTTTCCAGTTAAAGCTGGAAGAACTGAACTGGTACCCAGAACAGCATGCAGTTGATGACCAAATCTAATACTTCTTTAAAGCCTTCCAAATCTTGCGGGTTCTTGATATTTAACCAAAGCGGCAGCATATGAACCTGAAAACCCATTACCAACTGCACCACTACAGAGAGCCAGTACGGAAATGACTTTGTGCAAATCCCTTCTGTTCCTCATGAAGTATTTAGAATGGTACGACAGCACAGCGGGAACCTCAGAGCAGCAACAGTGAATTCCAGAGCCGGGGAAGAGAAGGACGCACTGCATTGCTGACAGGAGGTGGCTTACTTTGAGCAGTTTCATCAGCCCTTCAAGCTGCACCATCAGTTCTCTTCTGCTTTCTTGAAGCGCAGACATCCTCTGTTCCAATTCATCCTTCCTCTGTCTGTTCAAGTTACATGAAAGAGAGAGTCAGAAAATACACGGTGGGTATTTCAAAACCACTTCAGAAAATTCACCCATATAACCGTGTCTTTGGTTTTCATCCCCCCGCCCCGCCTCCAGTTTAAAAAAATAGAGCAAAGCACAGTACAACGACCACGAAACCTATATATAACAATCAGGCTTTTCACTTAAAATCCAGAAATCTGCACTCAGCACCTTGGTAGTAGGAAGCCCTTTCCAAGAGCACTGTATTTTGAGGAAAAAAGCCGGCTTTTTTCTTCATTTTAAGAACTCTCTTAACATCAGAGCCAGGCATCCTGCCGAGCTTTCAGACAAGCAAAAATGAAGTATGGGAGGAAAGACAGAGAGGAAAAAACAAGAGGAGAAAAGGCTGCAGATGTTTGGAAAGGAAAAGCTATCACCTGTCTGGATGGAGACTCGGCAGAGCTATTTCTGTCCCCCAGTGTGACGTATAATCTTTGACATATTTGCTGTACCAAGAAAAGGAGATAATAAGTGACCTTCCCTTTCCTTGGCATCAGAAACCCACTGTATTTTTACAGACATCTATCCGTGAGATATTTAAGGAAATACGACCGTTTTGTTTTATTTTATATTTAAAAAAAAGAAGTGACTAATATAAGGAGAAATTCAAAGATGAACGTCAACGCGTCAGGAGTTCAGGTATCTTATACGATTTAAGAAATGCTGGGCCCCACAAATCCCAATCTTAGGTAACGATAAATAACTAAGAAAAAAACAGATTAGAAAGGCTTATTTATTCATCTGCAGTTATTTTTGTGGACATCATAGCGTCTTAATCCAAAGTTAAAGGCACCACATATTATAGACTGAATTTTTAAATGTCTTTGATTATATCTGTGTTCTCACGCGATATACTGTGCATAAATCATTCTGGGAATTTTAATAACCAACTAGTTGGTTACATCAGAATCTGGAAAAGAAACAGGCCATTTTCTTAGACTGAATAAATCTGCTGAGTATGGCTTGCTTTCATTATGGTGATGGTGAGAATCGCGTTCCATAAGCATACACCCCAACCAGAAAACTGCTAAAACTACGTAACGGAATTAACTTGTTTCTATACCGGTTCTTAAAAGGAGAAAAGACTGTGAAGTATTAACTATCTTGGGTATTTCTTTCAACACCTTTTTGCATTTTGAAGACTGTGGTTATTACATGCTGAAACATATCACAAAAACAAGGCAATAAAGAGAAGATTACACATGCCTGGTCACCTAGAATGTGTTAAAAAACCACCACAGACATAGCTGTATCCGTCTATATGGTGTTTTTTCTCTCTCTACGTCAGTTCAAAGCTTTTATCCTACGGTTATTTAATATATCAGTCTGGTTAACAACTACAAATAATGTAAAAATCAACATATTAAATAAGTATAGCTCTCCAGATGTAGTTGTTAATGAAGAATCAACATCAATGTGTATGTCTGATTTTGGCTGACGTTATTCAATTTCTTTTTCAATGACCTCCAGTGAAGAAAGAGGAGGTACTGTTTGTCAGTGACAAAAGGGTGTTAAATGTTCAAAAAAAAAACCAAACCCACAAAAACCCACCAAAAAGATAGTACAGCCTGTAGGGACAAATGGAGAGACGTAGTTTGAGGCACATGCCCGGGACAAACGGGTCCTCGGCACCTGTGAATGGATGAGCAGAAGCAGCCGAGCACGTCTGCATGTCAAGGCAGGGATCGGTAAGGACGACGGATCCAGCCGTGCTTCTTCCAAGGTTACGTTTGCCAGCAGCATGGTAGAGCTGACTCATCTCTACGGGCTGTGTCGTCTGCAGATTTTTAAACCTGGGACATGTTGATTTTCCATGGATTATCTTTCTCAAGCTTTCACAGCCTAAATCCGACACAGCAACTGAGATCATTTGCTAACATGGTAACGTGCTTAACATATATTCAAAGGCAAGGTCATCGCATCCTGCTCACGCGGGCTTGGGGAACGTCTCCTCGTTAGCTGTGACTTTGTGAAGTAATTTCACATCGCAGGTAACCTGCTGATCGTGAACTTCCAGCGTGATGCTATGCAGTGGAGAAAATTAATGTGCACTTTGAATTTATTAATGAGAGTGACGTTTGGTGGTAAGAAAGCTAACAACTAGTTCTGTCCATAGCAGCTGTGAGACTACGTATGGATACTGCAGCCCGGGATACTGCAGCCTATAGAATCATAGAATCATAGAATGCTTTGGAAGTTGGAAGGGACCTTTTTGGGTTGGAAGGGACCTTTAGAGGTCATCTAGCCCAACCCCTGCAGTGAGCAGGGACAGCTTCACCCAGAGCAGGGTGCTCAGAGCCCCGTCCAACCTGGCCTGGGATGTTTCCAGGGATGGGGCATCTCCCACCTCTCTGGGCAACCTGTGCCAGTGGCTGAGATGGAAGTAGATGGAAGAGATGCAGAGGACTTGGAGAACTTGACAGCAAGCTAAAGGGATAGCTGGAGATTTGGCAAACCTGCTTTACGGAGGAACTGAAGAAGTTCAAGCTATATACGCGAGATGAGGTTAAGAGGGGAGGGAGTCAAAATCTCTAAATACTCACACACAAAGAGGAATTTTGAAAAAGACTTTTTTAGCCCAGTAGACTAAAGCACAGGGCAAGAGAAGGTTTGGAACATAGCAATCGACATC